AATTTTCCACTGGCCTCAGGTGCCGACGTTGTGTGCCTGGCCGATTGTGGAAGCCACGGCGAGTGCAAGAATGGGGCGTGACCGGACTCATGTCATCCTTCACATGTGCTGCAATTTCAAGTTTGTCCATCAGTACATGTTTTATTTTTTCGGACTTCAAGGAAATCCATGGGCCTTGCCTTTCAATGTGGATTACCGAGACGCTCTCCAGAGTATGCCTTATGGTGGATTAGCTATACTGTCGGTCATCAATGCGGACAGCGTATGATGCATGAATCTGATGCCTACTCAAGACCTCAGAAGTGCCGCACCTTGCAGGCGTTTTCCAAGGCCCATCCCCAAACCCGAACCCCTCAATGAAACCCTTGGCCCCCAAAAGAAACTTGTCGGTTTCGTTTGCTAAGCCCAAATAAGGAACCCACAAAGTTAGGTCTGAATCCCGCAGGTCTTGATGTCCTACTAGCCTCAAGCTTGAAGCCGAACCTGTGGCGAAAGAAGCCACGAGGTGCGTCTGTGAGACCGGCTGGCAGGCCTCCTTCCTTCCCCGGCCTCCACATGCGAGGGGGCGGGGATTTTCGTGCTTGGAGTCTTCGAGTCCGTCTGTAGGGCTAGGAGTGCAGTCTTTGAAGAGTAATGAGGAGTAAACAAGCGTTGTTTAATAACCTCCACCACCTACAAAGAAATTGTTGTGCTTGGAGTCTCGGAGCCGCCTGTAGGGCTGGGAGAAACAAATCGCCGGGGCTGCTGACGCCAAGATCCGGCAGCCGAAAGAGGGTGTTTGTACGTTCAGGCTTCAGGGCTTGGCGCCTTTGTGGGTTTGGGGTTTGAGGTTTAGCACGTGTGGCTCCAAAACACCGAAGCCACCACATGACAGCGACACAAGCAGGCCGGTCTTCGTTATGCTTTGGAGGCCTGAATGGTTTGGGGTCGTGTTATGTTACATATATATATATATATATAAACAAAGATATATATACACATATGTACACAAACATATATATATATATATGTACATATAAGGGAGCCCCGGCCTGAGGACTGCGTTTTCCACCAATGAGGCTGTGTGCATAAGGGGTTGACAGACAGGGAATTGGGGCTAACTAAGGCTTAGGACCTGGACTCGGAAGCCCCTCGAACCCGCACAGGGCGCCACATGCACGGAACCCAAGTGCCCGGACGACTGCAGCGGGTCTTCTGGCTGCACACATGATCTTCGACTAGTGACGAGTAATCTATAGCCGGGATGAAACTGACAAGAACAGCAACAGAGTCACCTTTGGCATCCCCTTCTGTAGCATTAATATCAAACATCACAAAGGTCCCTGCTAAACATGTCATGATGCAACTATACGTTCCTAATTCGCGAGTTCGCGACTTGTTCACGCATAGTCATATAATGCAGCTTGTCAGGCGACAGAACGTGTAGATGTCAAGTAGATGAGAATTGGTCCTCCCATTTTGCGACCTGCCTTGTTGTCGAAAAAGGGGTGTCAAGGTGGCTGGTTCTTTATATGCTGTTCCGACTTCCCAAGCACTTGTGATCGAGCTAGTGTCCCTGATGCTATACTATCTATTGCTGCTGGGAAGGATCAGCAGTAGGTGTTTTTCTGCAACGAGGAGGGGGTAGAAGAAGGAGAAGGATGCTGCTGCTGCTGATGATGATGAAGACGACGACAGAAGGGTCGAAGAATCTAGCTTGTTCTCAGGACAACCGTGCTCGATGCAAGAAGATGCGTGGATTCTTCCCCCCATTCCGCAACCCTGAAGAAGCAACAGGCCCAACAGCGAAGGAGTCTCTCTTTTGTTTTCAAGTGTTGACACTCTACTGTTTGCAATGTAATTTCGGCGACTTGTACTGCCCAGCTCAAGCCGTCAAACTATGAACGAAGTGCCTCCAGCGCCCCAGAAATGCGAACTTACGGACGACTTCAATATGGCTTCTTGCGTAGGACGACCGTTGTAGGGCGACGTCCGAATACCCGATAGCCTGAATTTTCTTGCATTGTTCAACATTGGTTTGCTTCGGTTGAAAGTGTCTATCGTAGAGCATCACAGGGTGGGAGCCCACACCCAAGTTATCCTCAACCCCTAACATCAGCAAGTGTCTGGCTTCGGGATACGGTGTGAAGCTGTGCAGGCATGGACGATGCCTCTTTCCGCACCCAGATGCCCCAGCGGAGTGTCTCTGCCAGCCGGGCCGCCCAGAACTCACCGTGAACCCAAGCTTCTGCGCTTTTGGACTCTGAACCCATAACTGGGTTTCAGCCTGGGTATGGGGGTGTCGGGCACACAGGTTTCATTGGATTGAGGCTTTCATCAAAGCCTTGGGCACTGCACTCTGAGACTTTGTAAACACCGTGTAGGATACCAAGAAGACGGATGGGCGGCGTGGAAGTTTTCGCAGTTAAGTAAGGCACGCCGTGGGTCGGGAGCTGGTCCTGCTAAGGGACGGCTACGCAGCACCGAACTGCGCCGAGCGCATCAGCGAGGCTTCGCCGGTCGGGTTCTTGTTGTTTTCATTTGGGGGGACTAGACAAGGGGGGTCTTTAAGGCTTCCAGGTTGCTGTGATGTTGATGGCCTGGGGTCCTTTTGCCAACCTTTGGCAAAGGTTTTGGATTTGATTAGGGCTTGCGGGTTTCGTATCTCGGCGGCCCTGCTCAGAAATGTTTGGGGTTTGAAGGGTTTTTGGTCTTGAGTCCTGCGGTTTAGGGTGCAGAAGTTTCAGGGTTGTGGCCATTGGGTTGTGAGGTGGATCCAGCCCTGCGGACTTCGAGTTTTCTTTTTCTGGGGCCAGCTAACATCGAGTTTCAGGGATTCAGTGTGGCAGCGTTTGGAAACACCACACCCTGAACGCCTGAAAGGCCCTCAGCTGAAGGGACGATAAGCCGGCCTTCCATCACTAGGGTAAATGCCTAGAGTTTCTGCTCCGGGCTCAGGACGTCTGCGGATGTCTGGGGTTTGCAGGCAGAACAGAGGCGCATGTTCGGCTGCACTGCAGTTTCAGCAGTAGTGGGACCTCAAACCTGGGAGCTGGGAGCCTGTAAGCCAAGCCCTACACCGGCCCCAAGCCCCACACGCTGCGCCTTTGTTTTTGGCTCACGTCCAGAAAGCCAGCTGCACATGACTTCAGCCCCCAGAGTCCAGCACTTTCCTTTGACTTGACAGCCATTGACGTTGTTATACAGCCAGCAAGTTCCTCGCCTCAAACGGCACCAGCTGTTACTCAGTTACTCAGATTTTACAGCGAAGCTTTTGTCGCTCAAGATCAGTAATTGAAATCACGCTGGAATGTCTCGCCATGCGAGCATGCTCGCAGCAACATCCCTCGGATGGTGCCATCAAGCGTGGCTTGGCTTGATGGAATCTCGTGCTGTACCTGCACTGCTGATGGTCTGCTCTGCATGGATGTCGCATCTGACTCCCAACACCTGCGGTTCGTCAGAATGTGTGTGTGTGTGAGTGCGCATACCTTTGCACACCTGCACCGAGAGCAGAGTTTCAAGAATGCTCTGTAGGAACGTGCCACCCACATGAACGCGATTGTTGCCGAACTTGAGCACATAGACACCGTGAGCAATTTCAGAGCCGACGCCAAGGCCGCCAAGGTATTTACGGCGCACTCAACTTGGAAAAAATCAGGCTGAAGGCTGCGTATGCAACCCGAAAGCCTTATAGTAGCCCGGCCCTTATAGGCACCTAAAACCCCCGAGCCCCTTTTGTTGCCTTGATAGTAAGCCCGACAAATACCCTTTGTAAATAGGTCTCAGTACACCTCACCAAAAGAAACTCATCCCCGCTTCCTTGCCTTTTTCAGTACAAAAGTAGCCGAAAGCGGCCGAGGCGCTAGCTGCTCTCTTTCAAAGGTTCCCCCTCCCTCCGTTGAGGCCATGGTTTCGGAACCGAGACCGCTCGCGACGGCTGCGGCCTGAGAGCCTGAAACCCTTGGGTTTGCTACGGGAGGAGGCTTTTTGTTGTTGGTCTATTGGGGTTTTAGGGATGTCTTTAGGAGTCGTGTATAAGGTTTTTTTTCGGGGGGCGTCGTTTCGGTCAGTGTAGGGAATCTTGTGGTTTGGGGTTGAGGGAGCTACTGAACCCCAGATGTGCTGGGTTTGGGGTCTTGGGGCTTGCTGAGGTGGTGGGTGGCGCTACTGCGTGGCATGCAGGGGCATGCATACTGCTGTTTCAGGGCTCATTCGGGAATTGCGGAGCTTTTAAAGCTGCCAGCCCAGATTGTAGCAACACTAGCTTGTGCGAGAGCATATATGCGTGTCACCGCTCGCGGCACCATCGACTACAGCTAATGCGCCGTCAAGTTTCTGTCTCAATCATAATGCCAGGTTCTTACACCAGGGCAGTCTCAACAACTGCATAGCAAGATCGCATACAATCACGAAGCCTATAGGACTTGTCCCTGGAGCTCGACACTCAGACGCTAGTTGATATTCCCCAAGCCGGATCAAGCCGACCTCACACAGGCTGCCGCTTTTCCAACGCAACCACCGCCTTGAAAGCCCAGACGCTGAAAACCGGTTGGCTTAAAGATTAAGTTTAGGACGCAGTGCCGTCGGAACCAGGCTGCTGCCGCTGTCACTGGTGTGCGTGGTGACCGCAACCACACTCTGTGCCGGGACTCCGGGCTGTCTTTATTTCGCGGTCAGCGTTTGGGGTTTGGGGTTCAGCGTTACCAAGGCAGCCTCAACAAAGAAATGCCACTACTCACGGTTCTCTGCGGACTTGTGGATATGGTGAGCGCTCGTCTTCTTGTGGTGACCGCCGAAAGAACGTGCACAGGTATTGTCTGTATATATATATATATATATATGTATGCACATACGCATATAGACACACAGATTATGTGAATATGTAGATCCCTGTAAAGACGCATAGGTGGATAGTGCCCTGCTATCTAGAGTCTTTGTACCCGGACTTGTTGGCGGAGGTTTACTTCTCGGGTGCAGGCAATCTTTGAATGCCAATGCCATTCAGGACCACCTTCGCAATGAAAATGTCCGTCGGCGAGGCCACCTCAGCCCGACTTTGCACGGCTGGGTTGTATAGTCCAGGGATGAAACGGTTCTATGACGAATCGCTAGCCCTGCCCACAACCTTGTGCTGTAGTCCTTAAACACCACATGCACCTCACAACGTCTCAAGCGTTCCGGCTTTGCGTTATGTTATGTGTCTCTCCACTTCGGTTGTGGGCTTGGCAATGCTCTGTGTTTTAACAAGGGCAGAAACACTGCCATCAACAGTCACCATCACCAATATCATCCCATGGCATGCCTTACGCCAGATTGAGAACTTGGGTCTACTTCAGAATTATGTTTCCCGAGTTTTGGATGGGTCTGCGAATCACTAGAACCTTCCGCTCAGCTGTACCGAGTGTAAGTAGCATAGACCATTAACTAAATGCGGTCAACAGCGTTACATGCATAAGTAAATACAAACATTTCTTTTCCTACATGCATCCTAGAGCGTGAAAGCGAGCGAGATGGAGGGAGACAGAGAGAGCGAGTCAGGGAGAGACACAGCGAGAGGGGACGGAGAGAGAAAGAGGGAGAGAGAGGGGCAGAGACACAAAGGTGAAGTGGATGTGTGGTTTCCGTTCAACTTGTGTTGGCAGGCATGGAGGCTTATCGGCGTCAAACCGACAGCGTCCAAGCTGGAGATCAAGAAAGCCTTCAGGGAGAGGATCAGGCAAGGTACGGCGGTACGGGGTTTGAAGCTTTGTGGCCTTGGGCCTAGAATGGTGTTCTTAGAGTTCGAAGTTTGGCGTTTGAGCCCTAAAGTGTATTCCTGCTTGTGACCCCTCAGCCTGAACCTAAGCTGGGGTTTGATATGCGAAGCCCTTCGCGAGTGAGCTGAGCGCTGCCGAGCTCGTGATTTGCAAGCCCTCAGGAGGTCCCAGTCCCGGGCGATAGCAAGTTTTGGCTGCAGGGGTTGGGGGATTATAACTTTCAGGGTGTAGTGTATGTAAGTGGATGTGTTTGCCTCTGTGTTTGCGTTTAGGCCACCGGGCAAGCAGCAGGACTAAACCCCACGACCCCAAGCCCTAAATCTTCGCGTGGAAACCCGGCAAATCTAGAATCTAGACCCTATAAGCCTTCAACCCCAAAGCCTTCTACGAGGCTTCGGAGCTTGTAGGGGATACTATAGGGTTGAATGAAGCTCTAGCAAGAGCTTGTTTAGATTTAGGGTGCGCAGCCCCAAGATCTGCGTTACAAAGTGGCGACTTCGGATGTAACCACATGCTTACGACCCAGCCCTGCATCGTAGACTGCATCCCAACAACCTCCGGTCCAATCCCGCGAGCTTTGTCTTAGTGTTTCATCAGGATTCAGGATTTAGGGAGTTTCAGGGTTGCAGACACGAGATTCTGGGAGGCAGGTGCATCCCGACGTCACGGGAGACGACGGCACCATGCTTCGCAAGGCTTCCGGCTACTCTCGGGGTTCACAAAGGTTTGGACTGTTTGGGAATTGGTGTTCCGAGCTTTCGTCCATGTGTCTTCTTCAGGAAAATTGGCATGTGCACGAAACTTAGACCTAAGCCGGCTTCGGAAGTTGTTGCACAGGTTTTACTCGTTTCGGGCTTGGCAGCACTTTGATCTCAGTGTGTTTATACGCACCATCATCGTGTTTATGTGTGTGTGTGTGTGTGTGTGTAAAGATGTAGCTGAAGCAGTCCGTGCACACACGAGGGATGACAACTATCAAGCTAGCGGGTGCAGAGCAAGCCCCTGCGTTGAGAAGGCGGTTTGTCCAGTGAAAGATGAGAGTTCAAAGTAACGATAACTCGGCTCCTCTGTAAGACCATGAGCGTAAGATTGACAGAAGAAAAATGGCGATCAAGCATATGGCGGGTTTTTCAGGCTCCCTGGTCTGTATAGACAAATAGGCCAACAAACAGTTATGCGTGCATCCACCTACTCGGTCTGCCTATGCGCTCTCTCTCTCTCTCTCCCTCTCTCTCCCTCCCTCTCTCTCTCTCTCTCTCTCTCTCTCTCTCTCTCTCTCTCTCTCTCTCTCTCTCTCTCTCTCTCTCTCTCTCTCTCTCTCTCTCTCTCTCTGTGTATGAATCCTGTCTTTTCATTGATTATTTAAAGTAGGTATTTCTGTTGTTCTTTCTGTCTTTAGTCATGTCTTTCCTTCTTTCGTTCGCTCTTGCGTTTTTTCCGTCATTATTTCTGTCGTTCTTTCTTTCTTACCTTACGTCTTTCGTTCTTTGATTCGTTCTTTATTCGTCTCTCTCTCTCTCTCTCTCTCTCTCTCCCTCTCTCATATATACATATGTGTGTAGAGGTGTTCCTGGCTGTATACATACATATGTCCGTTTATCCCTGGGCTGCGTGGGAAGTGCGAACATCCGGCGCAGGTCCAGGATGCCTACCAGCTTCTCGAAGAGCTCCGAGACCCGACCGTCTACCACAGCTCTGTGGAGGTCTGGGAGAGCATCAAACAGTTTTGAACACCTGCATGGACCTCCAATCATTACGATCCAGAGGCGTAGAGCTTCGTAGAAGGACTACTTGCGATTCGGGTTTAGGTAATATTGGCTGTAGAATCGAGTCTGAGTCTGTTGAGGGCCTCCGAAGATTGGAAAGTTGACGAGGGGACTGCAAGCGTTTGAAGGTTCAGGAACCTGAACTTCTGGATTGATTCTTGAGCTTGGTTGGCATTTAATGCTACTTGCGGGCTAGGGTGTCGCGTATGACTGTTGGAGAGTTTCGAGCTTTGTATACGGAGACATGTTTCCTCGTAATTGGAGGACAGTGACTAGTATTCTGATTCATGGGGAGTTCTCGTACGTCGTACAAAGAGAGCTTTCGGTTTCTCCACTCTATCTGGGATCATACAATGAATCAATGAATCCAATCCAAAGGCCTGCCGACTCGTTTGAAAATTATTCGATTCCTGGTTTGCCTCTGGCCCTGAACCCCCAAGCCCTCAAACCCCAAAAATCAAAAGCCGAATCCTGAGGATGCGCTGCCTGCTAATTGCAACAGCTGAACCGCTTATGTATTCCTGGTCTGCCTGACAGGATGGCGTGCCGGAGTGGGCCTCGGGGTTGCTCCAGGCTACTCCAGCTGCATCCCTGCGGCTTTGGGCCTTGGGAACGGTTTAAGTTTCGGCATGTGCCTTTCAGAATACTTGTGGCTCGGCCTTGGGCTGCAAAAGTAGGGCGCAGGTGATGTTTCTGTTCGATATTGGGCTTGTGGTGTCACGTCCCGTTGTTGATGGTTCGGAGTTCATGCTCTCGAATGTGGCGGGCAGAGTTTCAGAACGGTGTTCGCGGGCCCAAGGATCGAAACGTTTAGCTTTTGGGTCAGGGCATTTAGTGCTTTCGGCGCTGAAATGTTGTTTAGAGATAGAAGGGCATGGCTGGTCTGCTGGAAGCACTTTGAATTTCCTCGTCGGGGCCCTGGCTTCTGAGATGTTTTTGCGATTTCCGACATCAGAATCTCCGACTTGCGAAAACCGCCATCTGGTTGTGTTTAGGGCATGGGGTTGTGAGGCCTGACTGTGTGCCCGTCTGTGCATGTGCGGCTTGGGTACTCTGTACTCTACGGGCTTTTTGTTTAGTGTGCTGTGCAGTCAACCAAATCACGCTTTCGCTGTTCATGGGTGCTGGCTTTGGGGCTTCGTGTTTCTCGCCCTCTTAGGAACTGGTGCCGCAGGTTGGTTCCGAGCACATGGTTCCATTTGATGGCTTGCAACTTCATAAGGTCTGCAGTTGATTTTGACCCCACCTCTCACCAAGCCAGGGCATCGAGTGGACCGCAGAATGCGCTCCGGCTGCAGCTATATATAAAGCCGAAAGCTCCGATCAGACGAACGATGGGCTGGATGCGTACGTCCTATATCAGGGCCATTGAGCAACAATAGAGCACTCTCAAAGGCAGCGAACTTTCCGCCAGGTCTTTTTTCCGCAGAGCTGTCCAGAATATGAGTTAATGATCACCTGTTTTTTAAGCGATGCGGCAATGCGTATGTTCCGAGCACTGCCGCAGATGTACCGAAACTTATGCATCGCAGACGCGGGGTGACATATACGTTCTGGAATGTTGGTATAGAACAACCGAACAACCTATTCAGAACATTTGTATCGTCTAACTTGTTCAGCGTTGCTTATGTTGCAGTAGCTCAGTAGCCCGCTCCCACAAAAACGGCAAAACGCCACAACCGCAACACCAACAGGTTTTACCTGCACACCTACCCACCTACCTACCTGACTGCCTGCCTGCCTGTTTCCTGACCTTTGAGTAGCCAACCATCTACCCACCAGCCCACTCGCCGACCTACTACCTGCATGCGTACATGCATGCTTGCATACATGCATGTGTGATGTTGCAGCCGATTAATTTATTGCCAAAAGACTTCAAGTGCCTTGAAGCTATGAACAGCTGTAGCCCGAAGCCCTCCAGCCCACAAGCCGTAAACCCCACACTTCGGTGCTCTAAAACATCTACTTCTCATAGCTCCCACCTTCACACATCGACGTTGTCAACAAAGGTAGCAGCTTTGCGGACTTCTTGTTGAAGCCGGACAACAAGGCTGCAAGTTCTTGCTTTCCGGTTTCCAGTTGGGGTGTGAACTATTGACCCGTTCGAGGGCACCGATTTTGGATGTTACTTGGGGGCCTTTGGTGGTACGTTTTGAAGAGCCTGCGGAACTGAGGACCCAAATCTGGCATGTTCCAGGTGACTTCCGATTCCCTCAAGAGTTGAAACCGTATCCCAAAGTCTGAACCTGAAACGTTCTGAGACCATTCAAGGACCAGAACTTGACACTTGGTGATCACGGTCGGAGATTAAGCAACAGCAGAACGGCCAGCCCAGGTTGGGGTCTTGAACTTCAGCCCATTAACCCCGCATCCACCGCCGCTGCCTCGAAAGTCCCGTTACACTGTACACAGCTACGTCGTGCATCCCTCTCGACCCCCAGTCCTCGTCGTTAGATCAGCTCACTCGCTAGTTAGGCCCTGCACAATCCTAAGATCGTGCAGGTCCTAGCTAGCGGGTGAGCTGACCCACAAAGCTCCAATCAAAGGCCAAGACACAACCGTGAGTCCACAATCCATTTGCACATCCGATGCCGGCTTGAAATATCACAGTCCTATTCTATAGAACCCCAATTACAAGATGCAAGCGTAAGAATCGGTTCATGTTTAATGCAAACCCACAGACCTGCATGATGCACACGCTATGCAATCCGTTGTGCATGATCCGCATGGCCGCAGTCTAAAATCTCTACGACGGCTTTAGTGCTGTGCAACAGGCATTGGCGAGCCCAAAGTCTAAAACAAAAGCTGTCTTGCAACTGACTCGCATCCCCCCATGAGAGGCTCTTGCTGTCGGCGAGCAGAGTGAGAGTGGCGTCGCCCCGAATTCGGTGTTTGTTTAGGTTTGGGCCTTCGTCCTGCTCCTACTATACTACCGACTACTACCACTCCGATTTTGCCACCACCACTACACTACCACCCCGCTGGTAACTACTGCTACGCCTGCTGCGCCTTCTGCTGCAACAGCTGCTGCTGCTACTACAACTACCACTACCAATACTGCTACAACTACTAGTACTTCCACTACTACTACTACTACTACTACTTCTACTCCTACTACTACTACTACTACGACGACGACTACGACTACTACTGCTACGACACCACTACTATTACTACTACTACCACGACTACGACTACTACGACCACAACTACGACTACGACTACGACGACGACGACGACTACTACTGCTACTACTACTACTACTACCACCACTACCAGTTTTACTACTATTATTACTACTACGATAGTTGCTACTTCCTTTCCTTACATTGCCTGGCTTTCTCCTTCTACCCCACTGACAGTGCTACCACTACTAAAGCAACCACTAGCTCAACCTTTTTACTACTGCTACCACGACTCTGCTAGAAGTTTAAACAATACGCATCTCATGTGTTCACACAAGGCACCGGCACGCGTCCGTGGGCAGCGGCATGGGGGAAGTTCTCGCAGCAGGAGATTCGTGGGTGAGGGGCTTTTTGCAGAAGCAGCATCACAAGGATTCTGTAGGTGACATATGTGATGTCGCATGATCTGGAGAAAGGGCAGTACTATGCCCTAGGCCTCAAAGTCTCCTTGCCTTCTTCGACTAGTCAGCCGAGCCAAGAGGATGCCAACTCCGAAGCGCTTCGTCTCTCAGCTCGCTGTTAGACTTCACACGGAAATTCCATACCCGGACTCTACTGGCCCAAATGTGGTTTCGGTCTGGCCAGACATTCTAGCTGCCGTTCAACCATTCGGGTTGTGCCTGCTGTCTATTCCGAAATGTATTTCGTGTTTGGTTAGCTTGGCACATCACCGCAGTGCTGTACGAAGCAAAAGTACGTAAACCATACCTCGTATGCAGCATCTGGAGATCACCCGCATTGCTCAGACCAGGAACTCATACAAGCGAGTATGAGAAAGAGAGTATCACAGTTTCTCATACATCATCGTTGCAAGGGGTATCAGCCACGCGAGTTGCCGGCTATTTCGGGCAATGTTTCGGGCCTCCGTCAAATAGCCCGTGCTACAGTTGCTCGCATTGCCGCTTCGCAGTTCGCAGTTTCCACGTGCACAGACAGCCCTGGTCCCGCCGCATGCAAGTATAGAACATCTGCCATCGGCCTCCTGCAACGGGTAACGGATCAAGCTGAATCGGAAGATCCGGTATAGTTTGGCAACCAGAAACGAGTCAGCTATTCAAAACGAGGCTTCAATGCACTTCTGTGAATGTAGCCCAGCTGCGAAGGTGTTTGTCGGCAGTACGGTGTGAAGTGCCGCCTGGTCTACGTGGGAAGTGGCTCAGTGACCCTCCTTGCAGCAAGGGCGCAGGAATTCGGAAAGTCGGCGGTTGATGAAGCTAGGGTGCGGGGTTTAGAAGCTCAGGGTGGGGGAACTTGGGACAGCACCTGTCACTCATCCCGGAAAACGACACATGCAGACAACCTTACACTAGAAGAGCGCCAAGATTATACTGTACCCTGTTTGGATTCCTTGCAGGTATCTGCACGCGCCATCATATGCCAACCTCCGGAACCTGTTCCGTTGGCCTGACGAACTTCAAACCTCAGAAGCATAGACATGCAGCAAAACTAGTTTCAAGTGGGCTCACGGAACGTATTCACTCCGCATCAAACGGCAGACCATTGCGCCCGTCGTTAAACCCTGCGGCCATAGAGGCTCCAAGTGCCAGTGTTGACTCTGAGCTCAAAATGTTTCACACTAACCCAGAAATGGTTCACAGCTCGGGTTTCCGAATTAGGAGCGACAGGTGTAAGCTTTAGGAATCGCAGCTTAGGGTTCACCATGGGGGCAACTGTTGAGTTTTAGTATGCAATACCGCCGCTCGACTACATGCAACGTTACAGGAACGCCATCGTGACAATAGTCGCAATAGTCGAAAGAAGAGTAGCAATTAAGTGAAACTAAGTTGTCAGAATTAGCCCAACAACTCAAACTAAGACAATTGCACATCTGGCAATTTTTCGTCAGTTCGGAAACACTAGCATATTCATTCCGAGCATTGTTCAAGATCTCCGGTTGGGTAACATCGATGCTTGGAGAACACTCGTTGGAAGGCGAAGAGGAAGGTCAAGGATCTAGGACTTTTGGCAGGCGATTGAGGGTCTCGGATTTGAAGTGTTGGTCTTTGCTACTTAACTTCAACATCTCTGACCTTTGCCAAGGGGCGAGTGCGAACTGTTGGAATGGATAGCTCCAGCGCAGACCAGGCATGTTGCATCGCATTTGCCTAGTTGGTTTCGTTTGTACAGCCAACTTGACAGGTGCTCGCTTTTCCTGAAGACTCGCCTAGCGCCTAATTTGGTTGCAGGAAGTTGTCGAAACGATTTCTCTGTAAGCCCATCACCTAGACCTCAAGCATCGAAGAGACCCCATGCCTTTGCCCTGACACCCTACATCTGAATCCCCAAACCAAAGCGACTTGGTTGATGTCTTAAGTCTTCTGCGGAGTGTTGTGGGTGCTTTGGGAGCGATCACAGCCAGTGGGAGGATAAAAGTGCCTTGACAATAGCAAGACTGCTGGGACAACAGACATACATACTTCTCTATCAGCACGAATGCCTGCACCATCGCCTTGATCATGTTATCGTCAAGCCATGTCAGAAGGTTGTCATCCGCTTTTTCCCAACTTCGGACCGCTTATGCCATGCTTGAAGCTTCACATTCCTCAATCAGGTGTATATGCATATAATACATATATATATATATATGTATGTATGTATGTGTGTTTTCACGCTTTTGTATATACATGCATATGTGTATGAACATATGTAAAACTGGCGTGGACAGACACGAAAGACACAGAGTATGTGCGTCGCACGCAGAGAAGCCCCGAGACAACTGCAACCGGGAGCGTCCTTTCCGTTCCGGGTTTCTTCAATGACGGAGCGGTCATAAGGAAAGCTTCAAGAAGGCCCGCACAGCTGCCGACATTTGGACTTCCTTGGCTACAAACTGGAAGTCCCTTCAATCCTACGAGCCCACAGTCCCCTGCCGTCCTCCTTTGCCACTCCTATTGTGACTCTTATGCATACTACCCTAACCCTGAACCCTCAACCAAAACGCCCTTATCCGCTTTACACCAGTGGGCTTCGATGAAGGAGCGCACCTGGTGGAAAGACCAGTTCGTAAAGGGTGGCGAGCTCCCCGGCTTTGGGTGGATGCCACCGGTCGATCCGAAGAAGGTGCTGCGGGTTAGGGTTCAAGGGTTGGACTTAAGGTTTGGTGCGTTCGATTTGGATTACTGGAGCTTGTTGAGTTCTCTAGGTGTTTGAAAGAGCCTAGTATGATGCTCGGTGCAGGTTCCCAACTCCAGGGGACCCTACACCCTAAAGAAACGTGCAAAGAACCCGCTAGTGCCGCAATGCCACACGGGATTGGCGGATAAGACTTTCCTAGGCATCCGAGTCGTTGCCCGTGGTTCTGGTGATTTTTGTATGGCAACTAAACAAGAGGAGTATGAGGTCCAGGCGGAGCCTACTTTGGGAGAGCTTAGGGTACCCTTGCCTTCGTTTGCTGCTTTTCTAATCATTACTTGTTTGAGAGGTGTCGGTGACTGACTTGTGGAGGAGTGCGTCTAGCGACATTGCAATACTCCCAAATGCGACGGTGTTCAACCAAAGCACTGCAATTACAGAAGGATCTGCACATGCAGTTGCAACCTGGAAAGGGAATCCAGTGGAAGGCAACAGATCACAGGTTTTCCCAGAATTTGATGTGAAGCGAGAACGCAGAACGTGTGGGATTTGTTGAACAGCCACGTTCCAAGACGGGATGCGGGGGTGCATGTTCATCCTCAACATGCGCGTCTCTCCCTGCATACAACCCGGCGCTGCCTCAAAGTCTCAAGGGTTTCAGGCCGAATTCTCATGCGAGCAACTCTAGGCCGTTCCCACCCAAGACTTCATGTCCAAGCCCAGTGCCTCAATGCCCCAACGGCCCCAACCCTCAAACTCCCGAACGTTGACAGTATGTACCCCAGCAGCGGCCCAGTTTCTTTTTGGTGCCTTGCGTTAAGACCACAACAGCTAGTATGGGGTCGGACACTGTCGTGATTACAGTAACATTCAGGCAGCATCCGCTGGTTACATGTTTTTGGAGGCATTAGGCGTCTCTGTGGCGTCACATCTGATGTTGAAGAAAAAGAAGAACCAGGCGATGATGATGTTGATCTTGATGCCGACCGTGATGATATGTTGGCTGTTATGCTGTTGACGATGAAGGCCCAAGCACAAAGTTCCAGTCACTGATCCTGATCCTAGAAGTGTGCGAAGTATCCGGGGCGGCTATCGGAGCTGTGAGCCCCAACTACCCTTGCAGGAGAAGCTAGTTGGCTGGAAGACCATCACTGAGGGTAGCGAGCATTTGGGCGAGAAGAGGATCCGAGTGCCCGTCTTCGAGCCGGCTACTAGGGTGCAATCAAAGGTCCGAGCATCATCTTTAGATGGGTGCCTTCAGCTGTGTCAACACCCCAAACTGCTGTGCGTTTACAAACAGCCGCCCTCTAGGCATCTTCAACCGTTCCGAGTTGCCCGAACCCGAAAGGTCCGATTTGTTCGGCACTTAATTCTGCCGTACATACAGCATGAGTGCTTTCCGTTTTGTCCTCGTGGTTATGCATACTATCGCTATGATGACATAGCCTATGGTCACCGATATTTTCGTTGTGCCATGGTCTGCATATGTGCATGTGGGAGTAGTAGCCAGTAGCGCCAGCAATATCAATGGTGGATCCATGTATCATAGTCGCCGGTGGTCGTGGTCGCATTTAAAAGGCATTTTGACACCCTGCCTTCCAAGCTGCACAAGCCCTTTGGATAGCCGGAGTCCCAGCGTTTAGGATACTGAACTCAGACTCCTGCATCTGTCATCGGGGTCTATAGGTACTATGGTTATGAGGCAAAATCTGTGTGCAGCACAGGGAGTTTGATCGGTCGTCAACCCTCAGCTGGAAAATGTCTCCTCGGAGGTTGAAGTTTTGAGTTTGGAAGGTGTATGCTGGGGTTCAGTTTCTTTGGATTTCTGGGTCGGGAGAGGATTGTCCTTGAACCCGACCCTTTTGTATTGAAGTCCCACACACCACGCCTGCTTTTTGCAAGCCCCAAGACTGTTTGTGAGGCTGCGACGTTCGCTGTGAGTGGCAATAGGAGAAAAAGCTGAAGAGCCCAACAGTTTCAAGAACTGTGGAAGTTCTCCAGCACACTGAAGCCACCTCAAACGTTAACATAAACGCAATCGAACCCCTTCCACACCGGAAATGCCCGTGCACATCCAAGCGCTGAGAACTAAGCCCACAACACAGTAGATCCTGCACACAAAACTGTGCACCTGTGCGCAGGTTAAGGGAGGCATTCCCTACCTGTACTCTCCGGCAAAGCCGAGACAGCGGATATTTCTGAAGCCAAGCTGAAATTCGAGGGGTTCGGGCCTGAGCCTCGGGTTACGCCTCGCCTTCGGTAACACCTAAACTTCAAGCCAGATGAGTACAATGATTACAAAGACCCTACCTGCACGAAAGGGTCTATCGTACTTCGAGGAGTCAGCCAGCGGATGGACACAAAGACCCCCAGAGTTCCCATCGTGCAGGACATTCTTCAAGATAAGGAACCATAATGGCAGGTTCTCGTTTTTATATTGCGGAACCCACGCTCATCCGCAAAGAACAGCACAGCCCCAAGGCCAACCCCAGATCGTAGACACTGAACCCGAAACCTCAAATGCCGCCAACGCAAGAATGCCTCCAAATCCAAGTTTTGCAGAGCCCGCCTGAAAACATGCTCTCCGACGGCTAAGCTGAGTACACCCTGAGCCCCCGTCCTCAGTCCAAAACTATAAGCAGACCCCGTGAGCAAATGCGGGACAACGCCCGTAAATTGCATCGTAGCCTTCTTCAGGAAGCGCACCCCTTTCAAGCGCGTGGAGAGCTTATCGCGCAACATGCAACGGTCGCGGCGGTCGCAACTGAGAGCGCCTGGTCTGCATTCCGGAGTTGAGTATAGGAGCCTCCTCAAAGAATCCTGACTTCAGTTAAGAACATAGAGCCGATGGCTTGTCGGGCGTAATTAGAGCTTTTGGTGTTGGAGTTGTGATTGGCGGAGCAAGACAAGCTGCTGCACGAGGCTTCTCAGGCTGCCGGTCCGAATACTTCGCATAAGCGCCCCAATGTCAGCACAAGCAACAAAGACCCTTGTAGAAACCCCGGGTCGTAGTTCTGAAATCTTTCTTGCGTCTGTGGCATCGAAATTCAAACCCAGGGTTTCTGAACTGAGGTCCAAAGTCTTTCTCGCCGTGTCGCAGTCAAGCTGGCGTATAATTTAGTAGTGTCAGTCTGCAGCCACGACAGCTTCACATCCTAAGCTGGGGATATGTTTAAGTCTGCAGAGTGCAGAACATTCATAGCACGCGACCCAGGAGCATATCATGTCCCTCAACCAGCAGAACGACGGCTGGTTCAGCGCATCCGAGACCATGCGAAACATGAAGTCTTCCGGACGGAGTGAAATCCTGTAGAGACGATCTTCTCCTGGTGGGCAGCGAGGGGGCGGCATTTGAGCAAGCTAGGCCCCATGAGCAGACCCGCAGCAGCCCAGAACCTAATTAATGACAGCTCTACAATATTTCAGTTTTCGCAGCCTCCAGAGTGTTGACAGCCATTGGCATGCATGTGTCTCCCGCCCCCTTCCGGCTTCCGGAGACGAGGGCATTTTCGCGCGACGAAGAAAGCGAGTGCGGTTCTCCTGGGATCCTCAGGGCGCAATAAATCCTAGCAGAGTACATCGCTCAATAGTTAGATGGATTCTCGTACGAGATACGAGCGACTTCAGCTTGGGGTGGATGCTTTCGTCAGAGTGTGGGTCGTTCCTTCCTGTTGGCGTGTTCAGCTGTTGTCGAATGCTTTTGTTGAAATTGTTGCGGCGGGGTTGTCCCAAATGCTCACACTTCTTGAAGTTTCAATCCTAGGCTTTATGCTCTCTACACCCGGAGCACGAGGCCGTCAGAACCAAGCTACTTAAAGTGTGGCAGCCTACCGTAGTGACCCGGAGCCTAAACTTGGCATCCCGAAAATTGTGAGGCCTTCCGCGGCCTCCTGTAACACAGTAACCGGCACTAGCAAGGACGTGGTCGCCCATTATGTCGTCGTCGTAGTACTAGTACGGCTACCGGAAATAGTGCAAGTACTAGTAGTGACTACTACAGCACCAGTACAGGTAGTAGTGGTAGTGGTTAGTGACGGTTAGTAGTAGTAGTAGTAGTAGTAGTAGTAGTAGTAGTAGTAGTAGTAGTAGCAGCAGCAGTAGCAGTAGTAGTAATAACAATAATGATAATCGTCGTCGTGCAACAGCAGTAGTAGCTGTTGTCGACGTTGTTGTTGCTGTTGTTGTTGTTGTTGCCGCTGTTGTTGTCGTCGTTCCAGTTGCAGCTGTACTTGTATTTATATGTGTAGTATTAGTAGAGTTGTTGTTGTAGTTGTTGTCGTCGCTGCTGTTGCTGTTGTTGTTGTAGTTGTAGTCGTCGCCGCTGTTGCTTTGTTGTTGTGTTGCTTTGTTGCTGTTGCTGTTGCTGTGTTGTCGTTGTTGTGGTTGTTGCTGCTGCTGCTGCTGTGTTGCTGTGTTGCTGTTGCGGTGTTGTTGTTGTTGTTCTTGGGTTGCTGTTGTTTGTTGTTGTGCGTTGTTCGTTGTGTGCTGTGCATTGTTCGTTGCTTTTGCTGTGTTGCTGTTGCCGTGTTGTTTTTGATGATGCTGTTGTTGTTGGTTGCTGTTGTGTGCTGTTGTTCGTTGTTCGTTGTGTGCTGTGCATTGTTCGTTGCCGTTGCTGCTTCTTGTTGTTGGTTGTTGTTGCTGTTGTTGTTGTTGTTGTTGTTGTTGTTGTTGTTGTTCGTTGTGTGTGTGTGTGTGTTTATTGTTGTTGTTGTTGTTGTTGTCGTTGTCGTTGTTGTTGTTGTCGTTGTGGTTGGTTGTTGTTGGTGTTTGTTTGTTGGTTGTTGGATGTTGGATGTTTTTTTTGTTTTTGGTGGTTGTTGTTGTTCTTGCGGCTGTTGTTGTTGTTCGTGGTGTTTGTTTTTGTTTGTTTTTGTGTGTGTGTATGTTTGTTGTGTGATGTTGTGTGTTGTTGCTGCTGTTGTTGTTGTTGCTGTTGTTGTTGTTGCTGTTGTTGTTGTTGCTGTTGTTGTTCTTGTTATTCTTGTTGTTGTTTCTGTTGCTGTTGCTGTTGCTGCTGTTGCTGTTGTTGTTGTTGCTGCTGTTATTCTGGTCATTATTGTTGTTGTTGCTGTTGCTGTTGCTGATGTTGTTGTTGTTGCTTGTTGTTGTTGCTGTTGTTGGGTTGATCGTTGATCGTTGTGTGGTGTTCATCGTTCGTTGCTGCTGCTGTTGCCGTTGCTGTTGTTGGTGCTGTTGTTGATCCCTGCACAAGCAGCTCCAGCCAGAGCAGTGGGGCGTGTATTCGGATGCATACAACCAGGATAAATGCTGTACAGCTCCAAGAACTAAGCTCCGATTGCGGTGCACGAACAAACTATGGGTTCGCGAGCATGTGTTCTCTTGCGATCTTTCAACTGCAGCCGAAAACTCAATCGCATACCACGGGGATTGGTATTTCAGAAGGATAGTAAAACCAAGAAAGTTACGTATCCAAGCAATCGATATGAAGGACCATAGACATGCAAAGACCAATTCGGCAAAGCCCTGCGACACCCTCTAGGATCCTTGAGTGCGTATGCCCTCAAATAAACAGGCATCTCCACCTCTACGAGGTCGCCACGTAGAGCTTGCTGCGGTCCGCCTGAATTGAGATGCGCAGACTTCGTGCATAAAGCTCTGATCTTCAATTTCCTTGCGGCGGTAGCGACCTTCGTTTCGCCTTTTGTAGGTCCAGTGAATTACATGCATCTCTACCGCAGAAGTGCCGAAGGCCTGAAATTTTGGGTGATTCGGAATCATCGATAATCTTGCTTCGCAATCCAAAATAATCTTCGCTAAATACGATTATCAATTTCGATGAGATTCCATTTATCGATTAAAATATAGAAAAAGATAATTCTTCAGTTATAGTGTATTTATATATAGATAGAAATAGGTTAGGGAGAGCGGAATGCCTTGGAGCGGGGCGGAGGTGGAACGCGTATTTTATAGATTCTATAGGTATTTAGAAAAAGTTTTTATTGGAGTATAAAATGTTTGTCTCACTCGTGGAGTATGGCATTCGACGTTCTTGTTGAATAATGTATATGCGGGAAGAATATACGCTTATGATATTATGATAAATATTGATCACGAAAGTTAGTGTAGCTAATCTTTTATTTCAATTAAAATCATAAAAATCTCTCGTATTCTCAATCGTATAGTAGGATTATTTTTTCTTAATAAGGGCAGTTTATTTCTCTCTAAGATTGTGTTCATACGAAATATATTTTTGGAATACAGGATTTTTGATTACGAAAATAAATATATTGATTTTTTATTTCAAGTATATTTCTTCATATTCTCTGAATGTATTCTGTTTCGCGTAATAAGCCTATTTTTTCTTGATATACAGATAAGGAATTTTATGTCTTCTTAAGATTGTATTCGTACGAAATATTTCTTTGGAATCTAGGATTTTTTATTATGAAATTTAGTATAGTTAATCTTATATTTTAATTATAATAAATAATATTTTCCAAATATATTCATAATCACATAATAGGAGCATCTTTTCTTGATCTATAGATAAGGAATCCTATTTCTCCTTAAGATTACGTTCGCACGAAAGATTTATTTGGAATATAAGATATTTTATATTATAGAATTAAATTAGAATAATATATTCTCGTCTCTTCTTTCATATATATATATATATGAAATATCGATTTTATTGATACGGAAGATAATTCGAATATAGGAGGCTCGAATATATTATATCTTCTAATATACTACCGGCATATCGATCTTCGCACAATATGCTTCTTATCGGACTATCGAAATGGATAATAATAATGATGGATCGAATATTTAGCAATATAATAATTAAGAATAATTATGCCCGCTTGAACGCGAAATATCAACTTCTAAATCCGACGATAATCGTGGATTCATAGATTTCTTCTAGTTCCGGCGTCGTTATCGCAAAATTTGGAAATGAATTTCTAGGGAGGAGGACGCTATGGACACTTGTCTGTTCTATATTGGATCATAATATCAAATAGTCGAAAACATAAAATGAGCAATACCCATCCAGAACCAGCCATGGTCACTTTCCAAGACTTACCTTCATGTAGTTTCCTATCCGTATATTACCTTGGTCCAAGGCTTTTTATGGATAGACCCATATGAAATAGCTTGAATTACGATATATTTTCGGTAGATTCTATCTTATGGCCTGCTTGCTCCTCATGAAGCTTCTCATCAAGTTTCTCATGAACCAATGATAAGCTTACCCAAAAACCTCTGACCAGGATCCGATCGGACTTTAATATAACTTATGAGGCACCAGGCTTGGCATTGTGGTACTTTTCGCATGTGCATACAAAGTAGGGTACTAGAGCGTAAGATATAATATGACATGGTGCCCGTATACTAGAGCGTCAGAGCGTCAGATATAATATGGCATGGTGCCCTGTAGCATGGGATAGCACTGTATAGTGCAGTATTGCGACGTATAGTCTAATTCATCATATATGTATAGTATAGTATGATATAGAATAGTCGTATATTCTGTTATAGATATAGATTATGGAAGCCCGATATCATACGAAATTGATAAATATAAATATTGTAGATCGAAGGTAGAAGGCAGAGATCCGCCTTATGTTCTAGTCTAGTATATTACAATATATTGAGATATGATATTGGCAGTAAAGTTCACGATAGCATATTGTAGCGTTGACACTATATTACAGTGAGGTATAGCATATACTATATCGGATACGATACTCTAGTATAGCACTACCGCAGCATGGTGTAGGATAGTACACTGTTGCATGGCCCTATTTACTACTTTAGGAGGATATAGTAGAGCATGACATGATATAGCAAGGTATATTGCACTAGCATAGTATAGCGAATTACAATCCAGAATCTAGTATACTATTCTACCGTCAATTCTAGTTCATTATATAAGGCACGAGCATAGATCGTAGAAAGAGCGATTTGCGTTCATGAACCGAAGAATGTGGTACCATGCACACCACATGTCCACTTACAAGGCTCGGGGTCGACGCCACAGGGTATCTGCTCACAGTACTCTCGGTGCCAAAATGGCGGGGCATATCGCAAGTACGAATTGAGGCTGTGCTTTCTTTGGTAGTGTGTATATAATGTCCACGTATACGATGAGTAAAATCATGAGTTCGACTTCCCATTAGACCAATCTTCTTTCACTGGACTAATCGAAGGGCCTTCAATTGCTTGTATCTGCTATGCATACGATATGATAAATAATCATTCAATTTAGGTCATTAGAGCGTAGCACAATATAATGTATTAAAGATAAGTATTGACGCCATAATCTAATATGGTATAATGCAGCCTAGA